ATTCGTGTATGATTGCTCGTATTCGCTCGTATTTGTTCGACATATTGATGTCTCGTCCTCACCAGAGCGAATATCTTCAAGTTCGTAGCCGTAGTTGATCCATCTACTTTGTGCGAGTACCTTTTGATGTACCGCCTTCTTCTTCTGAACGCGAACAAGCATACATTCGCTCTCTCGCTAGTCCGTACTAACCAGAAGATTATTGATGCAGAATGCTCGTTCACTCTTGTTCGCTCGTGCTCGCTTTTTTGGTGAATACGCACCTTAACCGGCCTTCTTATAGGTCACTGTCATTTGAATTATCATATGCAGAGACTCGGACAGTCGGAAGACAGTGTGTGTCGCCTCTGCAGAGCACATACTTTGTGCCTGCCCCGCTGGGGGTCGAATCACGTTTTCAGAGTTCGGCAGAGCCGTCTCTTACCATCTGACCTGGAAGACCACTCACCATACAAACTCATCGGCTTCGTTAAGAAGCAGTTTGAACCTAACCTAAGCTAACCCATTGAAACCTTAGAAGTTGTTTCGAAGTCCAAACGCAAACGATGTTCATTATGTCCTGCTAAACTAGAGACAAAAACAAACATCCATTGTGCGGTGTGTAAAAATCCCATATGGTTACAATGCCCAAAAAAATGTGTTAATTGTTTGTAAGGTAGATTTCATTTATGTTTTACTTTATAATGTTGATAGAAACATGTGTTTTAATACTTCAATAAACTTTTTTTCAATTTTATATTTTTCTTGGTCCCTTTTTTGTCCCATGCGTAACTTATACCTGTGGGTAGCAGTTACGGGTTAATGTCTCACTTCAGGTCTTCAAAAATCAATTGAAAAGGCTATAGAGTTTCCGAAGCTTTTCTTTACCTTACCATTTTCTTTGTAAGTACCAGATTTGTTAAATCTTTTTTCTTATAAGTACCAGATTTGATTCATCTTTTAGTAATGTAGTCACTAGACATAAGGATTCATAAGTTTTTTGGGAAAGAAAGTTTTTGGCTTTCTACTACTCCATCTGATACAAAAAAAGGGGATGAGAGAATCTTCCAAAGAAAGGAAGGATTCCTTTCTTTGGAAGATTCTCTCATCCCCTTTTTTTGTATCAGATGGAGTAGTAGAAAGCCAAAAACTTTCTTTCCCAAAAAATTAATCACTCCTAAAAATATAACCCCTTCGATTCATAAGTATTTTGTATTTCACACTTCGCTAAATGTTTTATAAAATTGTAAATTGTAATGTAATTTGAAAATACTTCGTAGTTCTTCAAACTTTGTTAAATATGTTTTTGTAAATTGGATTTGCCGTTAAATAAGTAAATAAATTGATTACAATTAGTGCATCTGAATTCTGATGCCTCCAATTTTTTTATTCTTCCATAACAAACATTTCGACAAGGCGGTTGAACTAATAAATGATGGTCGTTATTTTCACTCTGAAGCTGTTATTCTGGTATTATCGGCGAGTTGTCAACCAGTTGTTCTTTGACTTCCGTTGTAGGTATTTCCAGTTAACAAAGAATATATGTATTTACTGATGTGTCTAATAACAAATCGATCTTAAGACGATATCAACAATTTCCAAATTCACCGACAATCGAACTCGTATGGGACATGCCCCCAAAAATGTTAGAGAAAAATTCAAGTCTTCATCATGCTTCAAATTTCAAATAGATAGTAGACATATTTAATCGAAGTAATGAAAGGATGTAGTAGGTATCGACTCGTCAGAAGAATTTGTTGTATATCAAGATATTGTTACAGAATAACACTATATTGACCTCAATTCCTTAATCACAACAGTAAATACTCGAAACATTGTCATTTCAAATAGAGATTTCACACGAGAAACCACAACTTTCACATATACATTTTTAATAATATTAACCAAAGAAAAAAATACGTATTCATAATAGGTCTATCCATCAACTTCATTTACAAATAATCACATCAGCCCATGGACTTTCACCTGGTAACAGAATAAACGTGGGATATTATTAGTAACCTTATATACAGGTGAGATTTCAATTTTTCACCTGGAGAATGGAAAGCGCATTGTGATTAAGTACGAATAGGAAATTGCAGATGTTCGATTCACTTGTTTTCATTGGTTGCCATCAACTTTATAAGAGTAAATATCAATGTTACAAAAGTTCACGGAATTGGTGGACGACATAACGATAAAGAAGACCGATGAAAAAGAGCGACTTGACCAACAATTACACTAATACAGTGTCATCCCCAAAGTATGTACTATATGGGAAACTTATTTATTAAAACTAAACATGCACCAACGAAATACAGTAAAACACACATAATGTACGAGGAGCCTTCAAATATTCGATTTTGAGACAAGAATAAAGTAATTTTGGAAAATCTCGAGAAATGTTATTCAGAAAAGTTTTTCAGCATTGAAAAATACATCTAGATTTGAAGTCATGACCATCTAAGTGAAGTTTAATTTTTTTACTGTTTTTTTTAATGGGGACTACGAAAAAAATTTGCTAAAACGATAAATAGACAGCATCCTCTATACGACGGTTTATTCTAAAAGCCTGCAATATAACAAATTACACAACTATGGTGTTAACCACGGTCAATTTTTTTGAACAGTAAAATAATTTTCAAAATTATTAGTGCAAAGTTATTTTTATTTTTTTTAACACCGAAACTTACTCAAAATCATAAAGTATTATAACAAGAACTTAATATTCAATAATATCAAATCACAAAACATCAAAGTGAAAAGGTATTTTGGAACAAACTCATTGATTTTCTGAAGATTGGACAAGAAAATCTCCAGAAACTCAATGAGTTTGTTCCGAAATACCTACCTATTTTATTTTGATGTTTTGTGATTTGATATTATTGAATATTAAGTTCTTGTTACAATACATATTAATTTTGAGTAATTTTTGGTGTTGACAAAAAATAAAAATAACTTTGCACCAAAAACTCTGAAAATTATTTTCTCTTCAAAAAAATTGACCATGGTTAACTTTATAGTTGTGTAATTCGTAATATTACAGGATTTTGAAATAAACCGTCGTATACAGTATATATGCTGTTTATTTATCGTTTTAGCAATGTTTTTTCGTAGTCCCCATTTTAAAAATGGGGACTATGTGTAAAAAATTAAACTTCGCTTAGATAGCCATGACTTCAAATCTACATATATTTTTCAATGCTGAACAACTTTTTTAAATAACGATCACCGGTAGGCATGTGTGGAAGGTTCCGTTCCCACATGTGGTTCACTATTGGAATTTGAACGACCGGTATAATATCGGCCGTCCAAAATCGGTGTGTGTGTGCAATTTAGATTTCATATCCCGCAGAGAACCTGTAAAAATATCTCATTTGGTTTTCCTATGATCTCCACTAATGTCACAAGAACGAAATTTCTGGAATCAAATTTTGATAACCATCTCAATTGGAAATCTCACTGTGAGGATCTTGTTTCCAAACTCCACACAGTTGCCTTTCAATTTAGGAATATAAAAGAAATTCTGAATCCTGATTAGTTGTTGCAGCTCTATTATGCACAGGTAAAAAGTAGACTACGATATGGTTTGACCTTCTGGGCAACATCAGCTTCATCGTCTTGTGTTTTTATAGCACAAAAACGTATTATACGTTCAATGTTGGGTTGGAGCTCTCGAACCTCCTGCAGAAATGCATTCAAAGACCTGGAGATATTAACCTTACCCTCACTTTATATTTTAGAATTGTGTATATATATACAGTGTGTCTCACTTCTCATGGCAACACCCCCGTATCTTCCGTAATCTTCGAGGTAGAACGATGAAACTATCAGGACTGATGGAAATGCTCAAAATGCACCTACCACCTGAATGGGGTTGGCCAAAATGACATACACTGTCCGCCACTCGCGATGGAACACCCCATTTTTACTGTGGACGGACAGTGTATATCACTTTGGCCAAACCCATTCAGGTAGTAGGTGCATTTTGAGCATTTCCATCAGTCCTAAGAGTTTCATCGTGCCACCTCGAATATTACGGAAGATACGGGGGTGTTTCCATAAGAAATGAGACAAATTCGGATTTTTCAGGACTGAAATTTTCTCAGGAAAAAACGTGTAATCGTAGTAAGTTGGTAGTTCTGATCACGAATCTGAAGGAATTTTGAGCCTATTTTGCCCCCTAATATGTTTTACCGTAAAAATAGGGTGGTAGGTGCATTTTGAGCATTTCCATCAGTCCAGAGAGTTTCATCGTTCTACCTCGAATATTACGGAAGATACGGGGGTGTTTCCATGAGAAGTGAAACACACTGTTAAGTATAAGAAAAAAGATACATTCCCCCAGATTGATTCTAAACATGGGTATAACACTAGACACAAAAATAACTTTATAGAGCCTTTAACAAAACTTAGAATAACTCAAAATGCCCCAAACTTCAGGGCTCCAGAAATATTTAATTCGATCCCGGAAAACATAAAAAATGGTAGCTCAATTTTCATTTTCAAACGAAATCTGAAAGATTTTCTTGTGCAAAATTGCTTTTACTCCATACAACAGTTTTTAGAACATCACTTCTGAGGGAATTTTTTTTTCTCATCTATTTATGTACTTATTTGCTTTTGATTATCTGTTATATATAACCGTTTGTATGTTTTTTATGCGGTGTTTGCTATTCGTTTGTTGGTGGTATATGCACTTTGTATGAAACCCTTCCTTTGACTTTTTCCATACAGCCTGTACTGTCTCAAGAAAATAAAATCATATCAAGTATTATCATTATCTCAAATTATCATTTATAATGGTTTATTTTCTTTTAATTTTGTACTCATTGCTAGCGTGTGTCTGCAGTCTTTTTAATCCGTCATGAATGTACTGAATGCATAACATAATTAAATAAATTCCGCCTGTCTGTCAGACGTTTTCGGATTCAGCACACCCAAAAACATAAGATTTTTTATGGAATTGTGATAATCTATCTCTGTCTGTCTGTCTAAATATCTGAAATCAAAATACATACTTTTCTCGGAACTGCTATTACTCAGCGATCTCTTGAACTTCCTCCAGCACATCGCGAGCTTTGAGTACTTTCTCTTCTGCGACTCCCCTTTTTCCGACTCCCCCAAAACGTCCGAAGATCCAAGAGTGCATCCCTTTGTCTTGTCTCTGCACCGACCTTCATGCTTCTTGTTACTCAAATCAAAAAGTGACAACGATCTTTCGTAGGCGAGCCTACTTTTTCCAGTTTCTTTTCTTTCGGAGGCGCTGGATTGCAGTTTTTTGCAGTTGCAAGTTTCTTGCTCATCCGGATTGTTGGCGACGTTTTTTAAAAAACTGATGTCGCTACTCGAAAAATGTCTTGCACTCATGTAATTCGGGGCCATTTAGCAAAGTATTACATCACTAAAACGCGCTCTGATTCAAGGAGTAAAAGCTCTGTCGATATATGTATCCAAAAATATATTTTAACTATGTTAGAGGTAATTGAATTATGGGTCTTCAGAGCACAATGCAAAGGCAAACTAAAATTTGTGCCTCGTTTTTCAATGAACTTTACATAAACAGATTTTTTTTTAGTTAGCACCTATGGAATGATAGAAATAATAAAGGCAAAATATATTTTATATCTTCCTTATTTATATGTTCCTTCAAAGTATTAAATAAAATGAGTAAAAAAAAGTGGTTAACGGTTTTATTGAAGAAAAAAAAGATGTAAATAACGCATGTGTTTTGGTAGCTTCATATATATATATACAGTGTGTAACAACGAACACTTAACAGAGCCGTTTTTGAATATAAAAAGTAAGATTTTTAAAAAAAGCTCGGACACGTCGATTTCTAATTAAAGTGGGACACCTTTCAGACTAATCAGATTTTTTGTAGTACGCACCCCCTCGGAGGGGTGCGTCCGACGACCCTCATTTAGATAGGGAAAGTAGGTCGAGTACTGCTTTATAACATCTGTTTTTCGGACGAAAGCTCATTTTATTTAAATGGTTGCGTGAACCGTCACAATTGCTGTTATTGGTCGGATGAAAACCCAAGACAATACGCAGAAATACATATCCAACATCCCCAAAAGTTGAATGTCTGGGCCGGAATATTAGGCAATCATATTATAGGTGCATTGTTCATTGATGGAAATTTAACCGGTGATTCTTATTTACAACTTCTTGAAGAGGCAATACAACCTCGTATAGTTGAAATAATTGAACAGGATTCAAGATGTCAAGATGAATTTATCCATTTTCAACAAGACGGTGCACCACCCCATTATGCCCAGCAGGTTCGAAATGTTTTGAATATTCATTCTGAAGGACAATGGATTGGCAGAAGAGGTCCAATTGAATGGCCAGCACGATCACCAGATTTAACACCACTGGACTACTTTTTGTGGGGATATTTAAAGTCTAAAGTTTATGCTACACAGCCAGCCAATTTGGATGAATAATGTAAGAGCAAAATTCGAACAAAACCTTTATTGTTGCATGGAGCAAAATGGCGCACATTTTGAACATTTACTCTAAATTTCCTATGTGAGTTACCCTTATTAGGTGTTACTTTTTTTGTGTGTGTTTTAAAAACAATTATTGGGATTTATTAACCCTAAAACAGTTTTTTAAACTTTTCTGTGTCATCAGCATTCAAGGAAAACAGCAGGTTATATTCGTTGTGTAGGTAATTTTTTTGTATGATTCACTTTTTTATCAGAACTATAAAATATCCACCCAAAATGATGTCGATTGAGGTACTGGCTAGATTACGTTTGAGCTTCGGTCCGAAAAACAATGCGAGGTACGCTTTCGAAAGTAGACGGTACTATTGTATGTAACAAGATGGATGTCATTTTGAACACTTTATCCGTTGATTGTGTTGACTTCCTCACTAAAATGAGCAACAGGGAATTTTCTGTTTTTCTTAAATAAAACATACATATCAGAGTTAATCCTCCTAGAAATAAAAATTGACGTAAAGCACTTCGATAATTTTCTTATCGGTAGAACCTTCGTCAATCAGGACCAGGCAAAAACGGCCTTCCTCGACTTCATCAAATCCCGACCATTCAATTTTAATGCTGACGAAGGTAATGGAGTTGTGTTACGTTGGCAAAACTGCTCCGATTCAAATGGTGTTTATTTCGATTGAAATGGATAAGTGTTTACCGAGATATTACAGTTCAAAGCCGACTTATGAAAACGGAGAAAACTTTTGAAACAACCTGATAGTATGAGGCCCACTCTATTAGCGAATTTACTTAATTTGTAGGCACCCCTGTTTGATGAATATTGAATATATTTCTCATAGGATTAAAAAATAACTTTTGTCTGATTTCTACTTGTATTTTTTTTTTGTAACGACCGGTTTCGGTTTGTTAAACCATTTTCAAATAAACTGACGCATTTTGACAAACAAATCCTTAAATATAGGTACAACGATGCAGGCAATGTGCTTTTGGTACATGCAATAGATACCTGTTATAACAAAATGTTACCTGAATTATCAATACTGTTCTAAATCATGCCCTAAAGAAAATAACGCCGGCCGCCACTGGTAGCCATAAACCAATTGTGACGTAGCTAAGAGCGCGCGAATATTCGATATTCGCTGCCGTTCCAGACGTGGCGTTGCTTCGAAAATTATGCTCCTGGCTTCAATGAAATTCCGAGGAATTTTCCAGCGCCTTCGATTGTCAACTATAAGCTACATCCTCTCGCCCATCGAAACAGTCAAGTTGATGTGATAGTGCGGTACGCGTAACGATCTAGTAAGGCGATAGACATTCGAATGATAGTTGGAGTTTCAGTTAAAGTGATTTGTTGTACTTAAAGTGACAAAGTTGAGTTTGATTATTGTTCAGTGTAGTCAATTATTGGTAAACCCACGAGGAAAAACGTTACAATACCAATAGCAAAACAATAACTCTTTAACTTTTATAACGTATCAAAATTAGCAACTATTGATCCAAAAACACTACTTGTGGATTTTTCAACGACAAATCCTTAAGTAGTTGTCAAAATTCAAAAGTGGAGAGCTGCATAGTTATAGTTGGTCACTGAGGGTTTTGAAATTGGAGTTTTCATTCCATTTATATATTTCCAATCCTTCCAAAAAATCCAGCTCCTTTCCTTTACTGCATGTATGAAGAATTTTCATGTTTTCTTTGTCTACTGTGTGGTTTGTTTCCTGCAGATATCCATATATAGCTGATTTTATATCTAATAATACATGACCACGGCACAGTAAAAATCAACCAGTAAGTCCACTCCCACTACTATCCACTCCTACTACTTTCATTCATAAATTCACAAAGTTCTCGGTGACTTCGAAACGAAGTGCGGAGCCAATTTCGTTCTTTTGCCATAGGCATAAAAACGAAATTAAAGATATTTCAGAAGATTTTGTGGTAAGTTACTCATAACCAACTACAAAAACTACAAACAATAATAACAACAACGAATAAACTAAACACAATATCAATTTCCGACCGTTTATTATAACTAATCCGATGCCCGTGATACCGTCGAATCCTTCGATACTACAGCACTGAACGCTTTGGATGAGAATCTCATCCTAAGAGCGGTTGAAGGTCCCCGGCAACTCGGGCGGATCACGTAGTATTGGTTATTATTCTACTGTGATCACGGTATCTTATGTTGAAATTTCTGCCTGTCTGGCCTGTGAGCTGCTGAACAGTCAATTATTAAATGTATCTCGATATTGCAGTTACAAATCAAGTGAAAATAAAATGTTCCATTTCAACACAAATTGGGCTACCACGCATTCGACTATAGTCCGTTCATAATTTGTTGATAGCTCACTGCAAGTTTGACCCTCATTAGAGAACTGAAATACAGAGAGGACAGCTAATATGATATAATAACAAAAACCAAACTAAAACTGGCAGTTTAAGATGTTTTCGACTAACCCACCTTGTATCTGAAGAAATACAATACAGCTATAAAACTTTTAATCCGATTATGTAGGTATTTTGAGTGG